AAAAAAACATGCACAGACAAATCCAAATTAAACCCTGCGGCTCGTGACGACACATTGATGTCCTAAGACACGAAACGATCGGTTTGTGCCAGAAACCGAACAGTATTTCTATAATTTTTTTACCTCTGATTCACCGCAATGTCCAACTTCCTTGAGCGTGCACGCGCGAGGTGTGTACGCGCTCTGGTGTAGTTTACGTTAATAGGGTGTGTTGATATCCAGCCGAAGAGCAATCAACCATAACTTCCAGGCTCAGAAGTTGGGAATACATGGAAAGTCACCACTCCCGAATGAGTTCGCGCGAGAGAACGTAATCTTTTAGTTTTAAGTCAGTTTGAACAATCTGGATAAGCACAAGTAAGTACCATTTTGATTAGCCTTCGTACCTACAATGACTGTGCACTGTGTAAACAATGAGTGACGTATACACGCCCAAAAATAGTTGGACATAGTGGTGTATTAGAGGTAAAAAATGATATAAATACTGTTCGGTTTCTGGCAGAAGTTTCGTGTCTTAGGACATCAATGTGTCGTCACGAGCCGCAGGGTTTAATTTGGATTTGTCTGTGCATGTTTTTTTTACTCTCATAGATTTTGTTACCATTGCATTATAAGACTGATAGACTGCAACGGTTGGACTTAAAAATCATCATATTGTGTTCTACTGAAGAAACAAAGTGACCTACATCTTGGATGCCCTGGGGGTAAGCAGATAAACATCAAATTTTAATTTTTGGATGAACTATCCCTTTAACTGTCAAATACCGCTACAGCCTGAATGGATGCTCCAAGCAGCTTAATTGGATTTACAAAGCCATACATATTTGCGCCAGTGTGTCATCGACAGTTATTATAGTGTTAGGGGAGGGGCCATGATCGGTGGCTACAGTGCGTCATCAAGCCACCGTTTTAGCCCCACCCCAAAAAATCCTGAACACAGAATTAGTGAAAAAATGTTTAACGGTCTAGCTCCACTATTCAGTACTACAGAATTCACAGTCTTTGTAATGTGTTTCAGCAATACATTTGTAACATTTATAATGCATTTAGAAACAATTCTCAGAATTGACTTTACAGGGACTTTAATCAGGCTGTGCTGAAGCATTATGCAATTAGAAAGCATTATGGGTTAGGGAAGGCAGGAAGCATGCAGAATAAGGAAAGGGATAGACAGCAGCATACCACGGGACACGGGGCATCTAGCCCGTCCAGGCCTGGCAGCCCCGGTTCACCTTTCTCCCCTTTAAAGCCTCGGAAACCCTGTTCATGAAATCAATCATATAAACATCCTGTTGTCCAGCCACATTGGCCGCTCTGTTCCAGCATCTGATTGGTCCAGAGCACACTGGACCCAAGACTGACAGGAAGAGACTCACTGCATCCACAGGGCAGGAAACTCACAACTAGTCCAACTAGAATTAGTTACTGAACTAGTGGCTCCATCCTGCATTGTTCAGCAGAACCATATTCCTGTCAGTCTTAATCCTGAAAAGCAAAAATCCCTTTGAGAGTTCTGGTGCCTAGTCATTTTTAATTCAAATCCCAATCTATAATAGTTCTTATATAATTCATGAGGAACATATGAGCATAAAGTCTCTATATATGAATGTACGTCGCAATTCACTGACTTTGACCAGAACTCTTCTAGGCATCTGTTAGTGTTTATTCCACAAAGACAAAAGGGGACGTGGCTTTCGGGAAGTCTCCTTTTGCCTTAGTGCTGCACGTTGAACGAAAGACATACCAACGGACACGGGGCATCTAATCCCGGGGCTCCTTGGTCTCCCTTATCCCCTTTGGCCCCCCTGTTGCCTTTCTTGCCCCTCTCCCCCTGCAAACAACAGTGCATTCAAAAAAGTCAGACTTTAGTCCTCCTAGTTTACTATAGCAGTACTAGTAAGAAAAGCACCATCACTATGAATAACTAAGAAACTTTGGATGCTCTACAAGACATTCTAAAACTAGCTGTGTTTTTGAACGGAGCTATGATGAGTATTGGGATCATTTAAGGAGGGTACGTGGAGGGGTTAAGGAGAAGGAGATCAGCCAGTGTGGTTAGTGAGCAGACTTTCATTTACTTGATTAATTCAATGCACATTTATTTGTATAGCACTTTTCACAATACACAATTTATACATTACAATTATTATTCTTTGTGTTTTTTAGGCCACTGATATCAGTGGAATCTTGTCAAATGCATGTAAGTGACAATTTTATATATATTTGAATTTTTTCATAATTTTTTTTTTCCTCAATTACATATACGCTACGATTCAAACATTTTTGGTCAGTACGATTTTTTTGTTTGTTTTTTTTAGAAAGATGTCTTTTGTCTCTATTTGATTAAAAATACAGGAAAACAGAAATATTCTGTTTTAATAATAATTTTGTATTATTAAATGTAATTCATTCCTGTGACCCTAGAGAAATCATTCGAATATGACTATTTGCTCTTCTAGAAACAGTTGACAACACTTGTGCTGCTTTCTATTTTATGGAAACTGATTGCTCTGATGAATAGAAAGTTCAAAAGAACAGAATTTATAAATTAAACAGAATGAAACATTAATAAAAAATGGAATAAAATAGAAATATTTTGTAACATTATGAATGTTACAACATAAATGCTACTTTACTGTACTTTTTAATTTAACGTGTCAACTTGAAGTGCCTAAAAAGATCTACATCTACATTTTTAATGTAAATAGCGTATTGGGTGATCACTTCTGAATAGAATGAACACTATATTTTTATTGCATGATCTAGCCAGCAAATGTTGGCTCCAATAAATAGGCATTCTGTGATTTGATTCCATATAGAACTCAATTCAATGAAATATAATTGCAAAGGCTAATATACAAAAGCTGAAGAGACACTAATACAGTTTAATCAGCATCCCTATGCTTTTACTAATTAAGACCAGCTTTGCTTTTAGAGAGTTTCGTGATTTATCTTCAAGTCTGCACGCAAAGTTAGTGTTTTTCATTGGAAACTATTACATTTAAGCTTTATAAGTCTTCCAAAGTGGGATCTATCCAAGCTAGGATACAGAGTTCTAACATTCCGCACAGCCCTCATCATGACTGTTATTCTAACACTTAGCAGTGGAAGAAGAAAAAAATCAAAGTGGAATTACATTGTGAATCAACATGGAGCTCATTTTCTAATCCTGTTTGACAAATACTGATTCTTTAAGACTGTTTCTGAACTTTTGGCTCCTGGCTGGAGTGTTTTTCCTAAATACTCTCATCAGGATGTCAAAATGAGCTCCACACTGACATAATGCCTTTTCCCACATTGCTTGGTTATGTGCCTTTTCAAAATAGATCCAGATGAGGAGCTGCGGAACAATAAGAACTCTGTGCATTAGAACAATTGGGAGAAAATTAATGCAGCTTGGTAGGGAGGTCAGTGAAGGTTATGAACAAAAGTAGGAGGTGAGGAAGAGGAGGAGTATTAACCCAGGCTACAACATTAGGATACAGGAGGAGCAGGAGGAGGCCAGGGTGTGAGAAGGGGACAGAGAGGATGACCCGGCCCGACTCAGCAAAAAGAGCCACGGACACAGGCCACGGTGCAGGGGGAGGAAAAGGGGATAGGAAGACCTGTGGAAAAAAAGAGAGGAAGACAAGGAAAGGACAAGAGTAAAAACAGCACTGTGTCCAAGGGTCCTCCACAGCACCTTCCACTCCCTTTAAACAAAGAAAATGACATGCGTGAGCTTCAACAGAGGAGACGGCGGTGGGTAAAGAGTTTAGAGAACGGATAGAAACTAATCAGTGTTGAGCACCAATAGATCAACAAACTTTTCTGAGCCGAATAAGAGCAATTTAAACTCCTTATATGTTTAAAAAGAGCCATCTGAGGACCAGTCTGCAGAGGAATTCCACAAAACTCCAAAGTTTGTTGATCTAAGCAGAAATAAACAGACACGCAAGTAAATATAACAGCAAATCCATCTTCTATTTTCCTCCCATGACTTGGAGAGGATTCAACAGAAGGGCTGTTAGACATCTTGCTTTTTCGGGAGTCTTGCTTCTCAGCCATTTGTACAGTTGTATGCCATTAAATCATAGTTCATGCAGCCGCATCCCATCATGCTCTCTGCTGGTATGACATTACAAGATCAAAGCTTGTCGTGGAATGAAACAAAGCTCTGAAGTTTGGAGCAAATTAAGCCTTCGAAAGGTCAAGCATGTTTGAATATGTAAAGGTATAGAGGGCTGCGACAGCATGAAATGCAAAGGGAATATTCGCTTTTGAAGAGCACTAAGTGCATATTTAAACAAAAAACAAAGTGCATTAGAGAGAGAGAGAGAAATGTTTATAAGTGTTTGGCCATGCTTCCCTTCAGTCACTCGCGTGTTGTCAGGTTGAGAAATCAACCAAGCACGGTACCTCTGGAAACAGCAAGAGGCAACAGCCAAACAGGCTTAGGGACAAAGTCAAATCAAAGTCATACTCATGCCGATGCAACCTCAATAGAGATCAAAACAAGGCCTTGAACATTAGACAACACAGAAAAGACAAAAACGTAGAAGCAAGCAAGCAACAGTTCAAGCAGAGGCAGACAGACAGAAAGAGAGAAGCAGGCAGACACTGCGGAGGGGGAAACGAGAGAGGGATGGATGGAAATAAAGGGGTGGATGATGGGAACGGGTCTTGCGCCACTCACCACTGGACCAGGTCTGCCGTCTAAACCATGAGCCCCCTGGACAGTGTGTAAAGAGTTAGAGCGAGAGGAGAGATGGAGGTGGAGGACAGGGAGGGAGGGGAGAAGTGTGTGGGGAGGTGAGTGAAGCAGTGACTTGTGTGCCACATAAAAACAACACTAGTTTTGATGGAGGGGTGACATGTGAGAGATGAGCAGTAACTCCTTATAATGTGACTTCAGCTTTTTTATTGTCTTAGTGCAAGTGTGTCTGCTAGTGAACGAGACCTAAACTGGTCCATTCAATCGTTCATTTCAGCACTATAGATCGTGATAAAATATCAACAGGCATTTAAATTCCAGGAGAGATGCAAAAACTAAAAATAATACTTGTTTGGTTCCAAAACCTAGTGAGTTATATTGCCATCTGCTGTTTTCTAAGGCTGCATGCTAACTGAAACGCAACCTCGTAAGAGACTGAATTGGAACACTATTCATAGGAAGCGCAAATAGCACTCCTCATGAGAAGTGCACAGGAGATTTGATTTAGCATGTAATTAAGTTAAGTTTGATGATAGCATGTTGCTAAGCTAACAAAACATCCAGCATTTGTGTTAAAAGTGCACATACAATGCCTTAAAATTATATCTTGGTATAGGCAGCTCACTAGGTTATGGAACAGAGCACACTGTCAGGGTAACATTACCCATCCAAGCTGCATCTTCTTAAACAGTATTTTAATCTTGTTTTCAGTAAAAATCAAACATTTAATTTAGCTTGAAATTTACTTAAAATTACATAATGCACTGTTTTTCTTACCCCATTGTCAAATTGTTTTTGCTTTAAGCATATATCTAACACAATGTTGTGAGATTTATGCTTAAAATAAGAAAAAACACTAATTTAACTAGTTGTATCTCTTTTTTAAAATTAAAAACAAGACAAAAATACTGCTTAAGAAAACATTGATTTTTCAGTTTCTAAATCTCAGATTTTTTAAAATAGGAGTTACTGTGCCATTGATGATGTGACAAGAATAAGTTTATCAATGACTTTGACATCATAGATATACACCAGAAGTCAGCAAAAGACCCCTGAAATTCATAGTAACAAAACCTGTAGCATGCGATTTACAGAGCAGAGAGAAAAAAAGATTATAAACAACCACATACAGTATTTTGTAATAATAACATGAACTTTAGTCAGTTACAGTAATCTGAAACCATCAGGAATTTGTTGGTAATCTATTAAAATGTGTATAAAATAAAGTGACAGGGTCATTACATAACACTTGTATATATGATTGCCAAATGTGGACATCCACTGATTCATGCAATGTAACGACACTTAGCCATGAACCATGACAGTTACAAAGACACATGAAATAGCAGCACATTGATATTTGCATTAAGGGAGGCTAGAGCACAAACCTTACACAAAACATGCTTTTCCACTAACGCTGCACTCAGGAAAGACAAAAACATCTTGATTCACTTGACAAGATTGTATGAAAACGATCAGATTAATTATGCACTGGTATGTATGACAGGTGTGAAGTACTCAATTTATTTTTCATAATGAGTGATTTGATCAATCGACAGCTTTTTATCTTACTGACTGTAAATGCAATGCACATTTATCAAGTATCAAATACTGGATTATAAGAATCAGAAATGTACTTACAGGGAGTCCGAGATGGCCCCTGTCTCCTTTCTCTCCTTTCTGTCCAGGTGATCCCTTCTCTCCTCTCAGGCCTATTCCTGGTTCTCCCTGAAAAGAACATATGCGATTTAATGCCTTGTTTCGCATATGGCAGAAGACAAATAACAGTTAATTTTACATGAATAACTATGGACTAAAAGGGGCTTAGGTTGGAATACTTACCTTTGGTCCTGACAAACCTGGAGGTCCCTGATAAGCGAAAAATAATCAAATCAAAACTCAAACATTTTGAGTTGTTTAAAATGAGTTCCTCTTCATAAATGCACCATCAAAGGGAAAAAATGCAATGATGCTACTTAGGTGCACAGATATGCTTGTAATATGTCTGCTGTTATCATAAGCTTTTATGTCCTCACCATTGGCCCAACTGGCCCTGCAGGTCCTGGAGGTCCAGCGGGCCCATAGACCTGAGACAGAACAGATAGGGGAGTCACCATTAAAGGGCTTATATGATGCGATTTCAATTATTCCTTTCTCTTTGGAGTGTTACAAGCTCTTGGTGCATAAAGAAGATCTATAAAGTTGCAAAGAGTAAAATCTCAAATCCAAAGAGATATTCTTTATAAAAGTTAAGAGTCAACCACGCCTACCTAAAACAGCTTGTTTTAACACGCCCCCACATGTCTACGTCACGATGTGGGAAGATTTGCATAACGCTGCCGAAATGTTCACACAAAGAAAGAAGGCATAACTTTTATTCTTGCTGTTGCCGCTGCCACCATGTTGTGGAGATGCTGTGTGTTTCATTGTGAAAGCGAAACTACTTTGTTTGGCCTTCCAAAAGAGGACACGACTAGAAATCAGTGGTTAAGTTGTATTTACAACACTGTTCTAGAACAGTTTAACCCAAATATTCAGATGTGTGCAGCGCATTTTACAGAGGACAAGGACTGTTTCCTGGGAGAGTAGCCTACAATGCTTCTGTGCACAAAGGCTGTTTCTATAAAGTGGGGCAATTCCAACTTTGCAAGGACAGTCTGGCACTTCTGACTCACAGCCTGTAAGTACGTTTACATATTTAAAGAATTTGCCACTGACGATTCAAACGTGTGTTGTGAGCAGTGTAGAGTAGCGCTTGTTGTTTGTCGTTTCTCCGATCACAAATGCAGACATGGTTTTATGTTTACGCGGCGCGATGCAATGCAACGCATAGAAAGACAGTAGAAGTCATTATAATCAGTAATTATGTCCCCACTGGATGCAACAAATGCCTCGTTTATAATGGGTTTTATTGGTTTTGTCTTGTCGCTCCGGCCGGGACACATGGAAACACAGTATGGTAAGGGGCGTAACATTTCCGTCTCACGCTTGAGGTATTCAGTCAATCACAATGCACTGGATAGCTGGCCAATCAGCGTACACCTCGCTTTTCAGAACGATGAGCTTTGTAAAAATCGACAGGTTTCAGAAAGTTGGGGCATAGAAGAGCAACAATAATGTACATTATGTTGAAAATAATGTGTTTTTTTAACCTTAAACCGCATAAACACATTGCATTACACCAAATACACAAAATAATGTTCTTTTTAGCAATGTCATATGACCCCTTTAAGACATTTCCCAATTTGGGAAACACATAGGCTCTATTATTTATTGAAACCCCATAAAACCCTCTAAAATATACAATCAACAGCTAAAAAGTGTGGAACATACCAGCTCTGCTTTATCCCCTTTCTCCCCAGGTTCACCTTTTAGACCCTGAAGACATTATGAAAAAGCAAAAGAATAGGAATACTCAATTTTACCATTCATTCAACATAATTCAAACTGGGATGACGAAATACACTGCATCCCAAAGTCAAGCCATGTCATTTCAACAATGACAACAATCTGCGTACCATTGGGCCTGGTAATCCTATATGGCCAGGGGGCCCTGAAACCCCATTTTCTCCAGTAGGGCCATCTAAACCCTACAGAATGAGGAAATGGAAATTAAATTAGGCAGAAAAGTCAGTCAGGGCTGAACTGGGTTGATGAACATCACCTGACAGCCTCAACCAGGTCTACAACCAAGAGACCTTTGAACTCGTAGCATCCAACTTGTAGGATTAATGATTAGTAAAAAAGCATTTCAAGGCATAATGCTGCCCTCCAACCACAAACTCTTTCAAAATTCATCGAAGCACTCAGGATGATCCCACACACTCAAATAACAATGAATCATTTTCTGATTAAGGCTATATTTTGGTTAAGCCTTTAATCTGAAAAAAGATGTTTACATGTCCCACAGTTATTGAAATATCCCTATGTTCTTTTAACCAGACTATTAAAACAAGCAAATATAAATTTCCTTTGGAAATACTGGGCATGCTTTATTATTATTAATATTATTATTCCAGTACAAAACAATATTCCAAATAAAGATTACATGAATCCAAACTTTTCCTTACATGTATATGCCAACTATTTTATCAATTTCTTGAAACTGAAATATTGGCGTAATTTGATTAATTTTGGCAATTGTAAATATATTTACATGATGTTTACATATTTTGAATATTATGATATTTGGAATATCAGAATATTCTTTCATGCAGAGGTTAAAGGGCACAAGACCCTTGTGGTTATTTAACAATTAATGTATAGTCAGACAGACTATTTATGATGGGATTTAAGACTGGTACAGTCACTCACAGCTGATCCTGAGGGGCCCATGTCTCCCTTGTGTCCTTTTGCCCCAGGCAAGCCCATGACTCCTCCTTCTCCCTGTGGTCCCTCAGGTCCAGCAGGGCCGATGGGTCCCTGTTCTCCTGGCTTTCCTCTTGGACCCTAAGAAGTAAACAGGTGCAATCACTTTGCATACATGTATCCACCAAAAGATTTAAGATGCAGCTCTATATAACAAAGGTGTATAAAACAGTCTAGTGTGAGCATCTTGTTCCCATTTCCCTTTTGAAGCATTACAGTTAGCGTCTTTAATTCACAACAGCTGCGGTACTTAAACATAGGGAGCGAGAATAAAGGTGTGGTCACTGAAATACAACAAATATGGGCCACAGAATATGAGGTCGCCTAGGGCTTCTGTTTTACAGAAACACTAATTAAATCATACCAATTAACACATTAAAAATGTTAAAACATGTTCTTCTTCTATTGCTTGCAACACTGCAAGCCATGCAGATTTAATGCTCGTTTGCATGTGCATATGAAAATAAATGGAACACAAAGTGTGCAGCGTAATGATTTTATTGTTAAGCTTCAGTACAGACAAAGTAATATCTGAAAGGGAAATGAAACCAAGACATTATGACACCAAAAACAAAAAGCACTGAGTGCAGACAGTCAGGTCACCACTTCACAGAATTTTTTTAGACATGCATGTGTAATTAAAGTCAAATCAATGCAATTTACCAAAAATAGAATATATTCACACTAAATGTCAACCTTTATAAATAATAATAACAATGACAAAAGCACATTTACTAAAAACTTCAATTTACAGGAAAACAAAATATAGCAAACTCAAAATATGAATAAATACCATAATACTACATAAAATAACACTGTAAAGTTGGTGGAATAAGGTGCATGATTTGCATGGACCACTTTTATGGTGCTTTAGTTTGTCATTTTGAAGCTTGACAATATCATTTAATTTAAAAGAATTGGTAAAAAAAATCCGTGTTCCAAGTCATACATGTTTGGAACTGTAAATGGGTGAGTAAAATTCACTATCAATATTAAACATAACATCTAAAAACTGGGCTTGAGGGTTTAAGCTTATTATCAGAACAAGCACTAATGCAAGAAATAGCCACAGCACACATTTGGGTGTACCTTGTAGCCCCGTTTTCCAGGGATACCAGAAACACCTGCCTGACCCTTCATATCGACAGAAAAACCTCCATCACTTCAAGAATTTCATATGATCAGCAAAATGTATTAAAGATACAACCACACCAAACCAGGCCTTTACCTTTCGTCCAGGGGCGCCTGGGAAACCAGGCTCTCCCTGAAGGGTGCAAGACGTCAGCATTAGGAAAAACAAAAATAAAGAAAAGGAAACCAGTGAGAATAGACCTAAACACGTCCTCAAATGCTGACCTTTGAAAATCAACAAAGGAATCAGCATCCTATATTGTGGCTGAAAAAGTCCTTTGTAATTTCAACTGAAGATTATTCTCCGTAATTATTCAGACAAACAGTGTTTACGTCGATCGTAAACCCCCAAGGGTCTATCAGATGTCATAATTTCTATTGAAGCAATTAGACAGCATGCGCTGGTATCAATATTTAAATTGGCATGTCGAAGTTTTTGCTCTCCAGGCATGCAAATAGCTGATCACTAGCAGTGATCAGCTATTTGCAATTAATGAGCCGGCCCACAATTGGTTTGTTATTAATAGTAAAGAGCACAAGACAGCTATTTAATTCATGTCTGTTATCTCAGACTAATGAGCAGACATGAAGGCAATAATCTATAGACACAGCTGCGGCTGCATGCGGACACTCGACCGATTGAGGTTGAGGGTGGCTGGGGGGTCTGACTGCTAGTGGCACCATCCGTCTTTCTCCTGCCATCTCATTCCTCAAGTCTCAGATGCCACTTTACAGTGTCAGAGTGTGAGACGCTTATATGTGAGGTGCCTGTATAATGAGCTATCAATCACGCTCTGGTGTGAAAGCGGCTTTACATACAATCATAACAGATGAGATTGAACTCTCAAAGGAGCTGTTTAGCAGTGGAATGCTTCTGGAAGAGCATGCAGGGTTCTGGAAAAAAAGGATAGTTCTTTATAAAAGGGAATGGATAGAGGCTGCAGTAGAAGTGAACTACCTTCACTCCTTGTTTCCCAGGCATTCCAGGCATCCCTAGCTCACCCTGCAAAATCAGCATTAATTACTCATCTTTTCAATACATAAACGGTTACATTCATGAGCCAAAACCAAAGACCGCACTCATAACGCAAGCAAAACACCACTGAAAGCCTTTTACTTCAGCAGGTTGTTAGACATGATGACAACCGAGTATTTCCCAGCACATCTGCTCACCACTGGACTGTATGTTGAGCTTACAGTTTCGGTTCCCACTGACTTCAATTATATGGACCAAAAAAAATTAAATGACAACTTTCATTTTTGGGTGAATTATGCCTTTAACTATCTTAACCATCAGTGCTGGGACCTGTAACATGCATTAGTTAAACAGATTAATATACTTGTTAAGTAGTAAAGAATACAAGAATAGAATACAATTAAAATTGACACCAAAATATCAGTTATCACTTTTTCCAAATAAGTAATGCATATGCCTTTTCTACATATCTAACAATTTCTATGTACTTATATATTAATTATTTCTTTTTGTATTATTTAAATAACGTATACATAATTAGTATTTTTGATCTATTTCAAAGCTCCCCTTTCCCATGCTGGAAGAAATAGGGGTGTAACAGTTGTAATAGAGTATGTGTGAACACCCTCAAATTTATGTTTTAAAAATGTCAAAATGCTGTTTCAGTGGAATTCAGCATTTACAAATAAAATATACATTTCTAATGCATTTTTAATGTACGGTAATGACTGCACGCCAAGCATAGCAATTCCACTGGAGGAAAGAGTTTCATTTAGCTTCAGTGAGAAAAAGTAATGCGATACTAACTTAGCACATCACTTTTCATAAAAAGAAGCATTTTAACAATTAATTATAATTTTAGAAATCACCCAACACAACTATCCCAACAAGCATCCAGCTTTACTAGAAGACCATACTGGTTCACCACAAGACCAGCAGGAAACCACATCTAATCAGCATAAACCAGTTCGAAAGTTTGAGTTTAAGCTGCTCTCTTTAGTAGGGTTATCAAACACACACACACAAACCGGTAGATTGGCCAGCACACATTCATAACATTACATGGCAGTGCCACAAGAAAGCACTTGGACAACATGTCCAAAAAGCCTCTACAGAAAACAACGCATGCCATTTTAAAACTGGCAGCCAGACAGCAGGCAGCTGAGGGCAGAGGTCAAAGATGGCATGAAGACTCCAGTGAGTCTGAGCAGGGGGCAAGTGGCAGAGCCTAGTGTGGCATAACCCGCTTTGACAGGTGCAGCGGTCAGACCTTGGAGAGAGTTGCAGGTTATCAAGAGAGCCAGACCGCATATGTGTGTGGTTTGATTAATGATCCAAGGCACTCTAGTGGGCTTTTGGGCCTGAGACAAGACTGCTTGTCATACTCAGCTGCCTTCATAAACTCTGTCCAATCAGGCACCAGAACGGGCGGCAGGGTTTGGACAAGGCACAGAATCATTTGTGAGTTTATCCGTGTTCCCAGTAGATGAAAGAGCCCGACTCCATGTTACCATACCGTTAAGGGAATGGAACGACGCAATGATTGTTGATCACTTTAATCGTGAAAGAGAGACTTCTCGGACACATGCTGAAAGCAGGAAGTCTCTTTGATCTTCTTTATTTCCAATCAACTCACACCATTCCGTTAGGCCCCTCTGCCCATCGTCATGTCTCCTTCAACCCCTTCCGCTTCTATTTTAAAGCGAATAACGCTTGGTGGGGCAGAGGCTAGTGTGTGGACTGACACAGGCTGCAAGTGATTTATGATAGTGCTAATCTTCAGGCTTAAAATGATGAGGACGGAGCCTTTTGAGTTGAGGGGAACTCTGGGAAAGTGAGGAGAAGTGGCTGCGTTCTTTGCTGACAAACTTGATTCCTTCAGGACGGATCATAATAAGTAATGACTTACTTTGGCTCATATGAAATACGAGAGCATGGTATACATGCTTGGCCCGAGGTAAAAAGAGAAAACCGAAGAATGGAATTTCCAAACTAAAACGAATAAGTTCCATTTATATACAGTACATGCATCATATACTGCTCAAGTTCTTTAAGACACAAAGGGTCCTTGTGTGAAGAGAAAAACAACTATTAAAAATGTTGTCCTGAATCTTAAAATTAAAGAGAAAGTGAGTCAGTTTGAGGCACTAGCAGCAACAAGAGTAATAACAATCGGTTTGAATTTACATTCTGACAAAATGTTTGATTTATGCTTTAAAAAAGTCTTTAATCCAACATTTTGTGACGAACATTCACTAAGGCTGCATTTATTTGATCAAAAATACAGTAACAATAATATTGTGAAATATTACTGCAAATTAAAATAACTGCTTTCAATTTTAATGCATCTTAAAATGTAATTTATTCCTGTGATGGCAAAGCTGTATTTTCAGCATCATTACAGTCTTCAGTGTCACATGATCCTTCAGAAATCATTCTAATATGCTAATTTGCTGCTCAAGAAGCATTTCTTATTATCAGTGTTGGAAACCATTGTGTTTGCATGCAATGATACAATTTTTCAGGATTCATCGATTTATTTTTAATGGAACTTTTTGTAACAACTTAAATGTCTTTACTGTTACCGTTTATTAATTTCATTCATCCTTGCTAATAATAATAATAATAATAATAATAAAGTATTAATTTTACTGACCTAAAATTTCTGAACAGTAGTGTATTCTCTGACAACATGACTTAATGCTGTACTCCAATACTTTTACTTCAGATTAATGTATTTTAGGATGTGAAGAAAAATTCAGATAAAGGAAATGACTTTTTGCAGTCATTTATTCTGTTGCACCAGCTTCATGTAGCACATAAAACCCCCCTGTAAAATCACTGTAATGCATGACCTCTCCTGACTTATTGCTTCAATAGCCCTTGGGTTCTCTGTTTTATCAATCCTGGTTTGCAGGGAGTGTGTAACTGAGAAGATTTGAAAGCCAATGTCTTTGATCTCTGAGGTGCTGCACTTTAAATTCATGTCACGCCATCATCTCTCGTTCCTACTTGATATAAGAGTCTAATGGCAGAAGAATCACACGTGCTACATGAGTGAGTGTCTTTCACTGTGTTTGTGCACACTTCATTTTTACTGTAAATGTGTGTTACAGTTTTTCTTGTTGGAGAGAAAAGCAGACAGTCTTTAACAGCCTCACTTAATACAGATGAGGCTCACCATGCTTCTGGCTGCATATGTAAAAAGAGTTAATTTAGCGTTTGCTTATTTCCTTTTTATCTCATAAATTTTCACTGGCTTTCACTACACAAAACCCAATACTGACTAGTAATGACAGAGACAGATGTTTTTGAGGGAAGACAGCAGTTTGCCCAACAAATAGGTACTGTGTCGATACCATAGTAAAGTGATGACATCCATTGTGGGTATACAATACTAGTTAAATGCTTGGACAAAATGGACTTAAATGTTTAAAATGAGCTCTCTAGACAACAATTGTGCCTACATATGAATTTCTTTATGAAAATAACATTTCTTTACAAGTATTTTAATGCATGGATTGGAACAAATAGAGAAGCAAATCAACAAGTGTGCATCATACTGCAGATGTGAACTGTTTAAAATGTATCCCAGGATGCACCACGTTAAGTCAGTTGAGCAGAGCTGAAATGAAGGCAAAGACAAAGCTCAAACAAAGTCACTTTTGGTCACTATATAATCTTATTTCATAGTTTTGATGACTTTAATATTATTCTAAAATGTCCATGATAATAGTAATAAAACAGAAAAATAAGAAATGTTTCTTGAGCAGCAAATCAGCACATTAGAATGATTTCTGAAGCAGCATGTGACACTGAAGACTGGAGTAATGATGCTGAAAATTCAGCTTTGCATCACATGAATAAATTACATTTTAAAATATATTAAAATAGAAAGCATTTATTTTAAATTGTAATCATATTTCTCAATACTATTGTTACTGTTTTGACTTTTTTATCAAATAATTGCAACCTTGGTGAGCATAAGAGACTTTCAAAAACATAAAAAAAATATCTTATCCCAAACTTTTGAATAAAAGTGTATCATGTTATTTACATTCCAATATATTAAAATAAGCAACAGCCCGGTCCACAAACAAGCCATCCTTCATCCACAAACCCAAACAAAAAATGTTTCTGCATTCAATTAGAGGCAGTGATCAAGTGGTATATATAAATGTATAAAAAAATACTAAATATAGCACTGTTGCTGTCACGAATCCGGTCCATGAACTTCCATCTGCTAGCCATCAGAGGTCACCCTTTCCGATTTCATTGACTCTCGCACTACACACTGTTGCACATCACCCCGGACTACATATCCCATCATTCATTGCACTGATTGCACTCAGTACGGATTGCACACAGCTGTTAACATTGATTGCACCCAGCTGTTTCATATCACTCCCTCACAATTTAACACTCACTCTGATCCCTTCCCTCTGCCGAGTATTGTTTAACGCATATCCTTAGATAGCTACACTACAGAGCCCTCATTAGTTTACCTGCCTTAGCCTTAGCCTTAGCCTTAGCCTTAGCCTTAGCCTTAGCCTTAGCCTTAGCCTTAGCCTTAGCCTTAGCCTTAGCTGATCTTCATGAGTCAAGTCACAGTTGATCGTCATGAGTCAAGTTTAGTCCCAGTGGATCTTCCTGAGTCAAGTATAGTCACAGTTGTTCTTCCTGAGTTCAGTCAAGTCACAACTGATATTCATGAGTCTAGTCAAGTTACAACTGATCGTCATGACGCAAGTCAGGTCACAGTTGATCTTCCTCAGTCAAGTCTAGTCACCGCTGCTTTTTGGTGTGTTTGGGCTGCATACACCACCACAGAACTCCCAAAGGCGGCGCCCACTGTTAGGTCTCCAGAGGTGGCGGCTGAAGCTGCAGAATCTCCTGAGTTAGTGGTGCTCGCTGCTGTGTTCCCTGAAGCAATGGTGCCTGCTGCAGTTTCTCCAGAGGTGGTGGCTGAGGCTGCAAAACCTCCCAAGGCAGCGGCACTCGCTTCAGCTCCTAGGATGGTGGTGGCACCCAGAAATACACTTTCAGCCTGTCATGTCACGGTCGAAGGAACCATTGCTGAGCCTTGTACCTGTCCTATCAAGGAAAACACTAATGAACTTTCCCTGTTTCCAGATTGTACGGCTGTAGAACCTCCAGAGGTGGCGGCATCCGCTGCAGAACCTCCAGGGGTGTCAGTGGTACTCCCTGATGAACTCCCTGCCTGTTCTGTTCCAGCCAAGGAGGCCGTCTATGAACTCCGAGTCTCCGTGTTTTCCTTGTTTTGCCTTGCCTGTTTCTGCGGTATCTGATCTTTGCCTGTTTTCCTGGATTTTTCCCTCTTGTCTCGCCCCTGTTCCTTGCGTGGTGGTGGCGCCCAGCAACGCACTTTCTGTCGGTTCTGTTCCGGCCAAAGAGGCCGTCTATGAACTCCCTGCCTGTTCTGTTCCGGCCAAGGAGGCCGTCAATGAACTCTCTGCCTGTCCTGTTCTGGCCAAGGAGGCCGTCTATGAACTCTCTGCTTGTCCTGTTCCGGCAAAGGAGGCCTCCTATGAACTCTCTGTTCGTCCCTTATCACAGCTATAGAGGCCGTTTACGAACTCCCTTCTCATCCTGTCACAGCTATAGAGGCCGTTTGCACTGATTGCACCCAGCTGTTTCATATCACTCCCTCACTATTTAACACTCACTCTGATCCCTTCCCTCTGCCGAGTATTGTTTAGCGCATATCCTTAGATAGCTACACTACAGAGCCCTCATTAGTTTCCCTGCCTTAGCCTTAGCCTAGTTTTGCCTTGCCTTGTCTGTTTTCTCCGGTTTTGATCTTCGCCTGTTTTCCTGGAATTCTCCCTTTAGCCTTGCCCCTGTAACTCTGTCTGCCAATCGTCGACCCACGCTAGCCCTAGAATTATTCTTGTGTCTTGCCCACCATATTCCTGGTTGCCACTGTTTGACCCTGCCTGTCTTATGACCACGTCTCTGTCTTCTCCAAATAAAGCTTTTCATATGGATCCGCATGTCTCACATCTCGTCAGCCCCGTAACAGTTGCAGATGTGCTTATTTATCTGTCAACTCCCCAGATGGTATGTCTGCTGAGTCTGATGATGAAAAAAACTTTCATATATTTAAACACAGCACTCAAATGCAGAAACACAAAGCACTGTCATGACAACAGACCTAACAATCAAAGAGTATGGCAGCACATGTTTGGCAGGGACAACGGCAGGTAGCAAAAATAAGTGTGCTAAGTCCATCAAGCTGCGTGTAACAGGGGACTCTCAAACAAACAGTAGGATTAGAGGCCTGTAAACCAGACGCACAGGTGCTCAGATGAAGGAAGTAGGGGATGTCTTGAGCTTGCGGCCTGTTTTTCTCTTAGCGTGCAATCCCTCTGGTCTCTCAGCATGAATCCGGGACTGAGTCATATGTCTTTGTGCACATCCTGGTTTCAGTTGCAAAGCATTTGTCCTGCCCTCAGCCCTTGTGAGTCCTTACTTTGGTAATGTAAGCCGGTGTCTAGCAGTGGTGCCGAGTCAATGAGGGTGGATGAGTTATAGGAATGTACATTTAGGGCTGACTTAAAGGAACCTTTCACTCAAAAATTGCCCATCCATCCCTGGTTCACCCTACACAAATGCACAGATGAGGACATCTTCAGCAGAGCGACACACACACACACACACACCACAAATACACACAAACTGCTGAAGGCCAATGGGAGCACCTATGCAGACATGGGACATGTGATCCCAAACAAAGTCATGAGTTGAGAAAGAGTTTTCATCTGCCACACTCTGATGCCAGAAGCCAGAAACAATAAATCGATGAAGATGATGATCTAGAGTAATCCTCTGATCCTGTGCGCATCAGGACGTTTCACTATGGGGCTCTACAGGGTGGTCGGGGGGAGGCGGCAGGATGTGCAGAGGAAATGAAAATTCCATCAAAATCAGGCAAGTAAAGGAGTTAAGTGAGACACAGAGTTCACATAAGATGTCTGGCCCATGGACTCAAGCCTCTGCTTCCTCCCTCGTCTGAACACAGGGTTTATTAAACACCCCATGAAATTGTTTGGCAAGCACAGTTTTCTTTCCTGTGTAGTATTTTCTACTGAAACAGGTTTGGGCAGGACATACAACATATTTAAAAAAACAATAGCTAAATGTCCTTAGCTACAGTACATCACAGCCACAGCATGATATGCTATTTGCTAGTCAGAGGCAGTTGGTATAAGATAGTGTTAATTTAGTATTATTTAGTATTTGTGATTTTTATAGTATTTTATAATGATTCCACTTTTTATATTTTTTTTGTATATTAGTAATTTAAGTTGAATTATTGTTAGTAATTTAGTTACATGCTTTTGCCATTTTTCTATTTAGCTTTAAATGTAGTTTCATTTCAGTGTTAGCTTTAGTAATTTTAATACTTCAATTTATTTTTTATTTATTTTAGTTGCCATTTAAAAAATAGTGCAGGATGACTTGCTTTGTGCATTTTGAGTTCTGAAAGTTACAGTATGTTTTCATAATCCATTGGACACACTCTTGTATTTTAAAAGATCAAGGAAAATTGGCTTCCTCATGAGATGACCCTTTTAAGATATCACACCCTGTGTTTTCCCTGGCCAGTCCAAACAGATGAGTTCATTGAGGCTAACTATCACTGTTGGCTTTACAGGACAACACAGCATTAAGCAGCTAGACAGTCAGAATAGCTGTATCCTATAGGGACTATTTGTGCATCAGCAGGTGTAAACTTTACATGCATCCCACTCCTAATTACAGAGCAAAAGTCTCCCCAGTGAGAAACCGTGTAAGCACTCCAGCAGATGCATGTCTTTACTAGGAGCAATGCCTCAGACATGTTATACAGTCATACAAACATCTTCAGATGTTTAGATTTACTCTTTACAGAACACTGCTCATTCAAGATGCTTCAGCCAAATAATAGGTTAAATATCTGCTTGGAATCTAACAAGATTCTAATAAGATTTATGAATCTAATTAGATTTACTGTATGTTTGACTTTAATAAACCACCCAAATGACATAATAATCAAAACTGAATTCAATCTGAGATCTGCATACATAGAACAACAATAAATGTAAAGGTGAAGTGTGCAATTCATGCGTCACCACACGCAATTGCAAGTTGGTCTGCCATTGGCTGATCAAACAGTTAGCCCCGCCCCCAAACTCATGGTATTGGTTGGTATGTTGGGCTGGTTGAGAGTAAACAAACAGGTCAAAGTTTTGATGGCACTATAAGGACGGGACATTCACCCAACGTTTCTTACAGTTTAGTATTTTAACACAGACTAAAATTATTCATATTACTTTTAAACTTCCAACCATTATAAGAAATTGGCCATTTTTAAAACAATGAAGCAAAAACAGCAATAGCAAAAACCACGTGTTCCTTACCTTAATTCCTTCATCTCCTTTAATTCCCTAAAGAGAAACAGAACAAACAAAGTGATCAATATGCTATGAAATGCAAAAAACAGCTTCTAAAAAGTCAAAAGGTATAATGTGACCTGCTTTTCCTTGATCTAAAACAACTAATTTACATCTATCAAAGCAACAGGGCAAAATCAGCAGAGTTTCAGTTCACAACATCATATGTATCTAAACGGCCCATTCAGTCTCCCGTTAAGTGGAGGAATTATTTGAGCAAACTTTTCTGCTTAGCAGCACTGAGTAAATAGCTAAATATCCATGAAGGCGACAGACAGTAATTTTTCAGAAATAAAGTCTTGTGGGAGGAAGGCAAAGTCAGCCGTTGATTAATTGTGTTGGTAATGTGCCGAATAAAGTGTCTCCTCTGATTTTAACCTTTTAATTGTAAATCCATTGACTTGGCCCTTCGCCTCTCTCACAGATTAATGTAAATATGTCTCTTTTCCGAGTAGAAATGGTAGGCCAGACAGGAGACAATCTCAGTTCACAGGGGAGAACACCTTTTAGCCTGCCTCCATAAACCTCAGGTTTTGTGAGCATTCATGAGCGCAGCTGCCAATATCCAGAAGGTGGTGCAGTTGTGCAAAATAACTGCTTCTCTGTTTTAGTACAAAATATTTCACCTGAGCTAGTGTAGTGACATGATGGGCAACCAAGTATGGTATCCCATACTCGCAATTTGTGCTCTGCATTTAACCCATCCAAGTGCACACACACAGCAGTGAGTAGTTGAAACCACACACACACACACACCGTGAACACACACCCGGAGCAGTGGGCAACCATTTTTGCTGAGATGCCCAGAGAACAATTGGGGGTTCAAGGGTCAAGGGTCTCACCTCAGCCGTGGTATTAAGGGTGGAAGAGAGCGCTGGTCATTCCCTCCCCCCACCTACAATCCCTGCCGGTACTGAGACTCAAACCCTCTCTAACCATTAGGCCACGACTGCCCCCAAAGCTAAGATGAGATTGAATGTAAAAGTAACAAACACAGTGCAACTTCAGTCTATCGTACAGAGGAATTTTCCATAAGCTCACTGTATGACATGCTTACTATCAATCTAGCTTTAGCTATTGACTGGGTGCGTGTGTTGGACAACGTGGCTGATGGAAGAAAGCTCAAGTTTACAAAGGTAGATTTGGAAGAGATTGGATATGCAGGTTGTTCCAGAGTTCACATGTGTAAAAGTGTAACACAAATCCAAGATTGCAAACTATATAGGTTGTATCAAAGCAAAGCAAATTCAATTTCACATGGAAAAAAATGATATGTGGTTTTCGTGCCAACATGTATCCCTCACAAAGTATCAATCACTGCACTTGTAACTGCACATAGGCTAAGCTGTTTGACCCACTGTTCTATTCTGTGCTATTCTGGAAACAAGTGTGGAATGAGGTGGAAAGATTGTTGTGTGTGCAGGAAATAAAAAACGACTCAGTTCAAGTTTGCGATCAGTAAGTTATTTTTTTAAAGAAATGTATATGTTTATTCAGAAAGGGTACATTAAATTGATCAAAATGACAGTAAATAAATTTTTATGTTATTTCTTCTTTTTAAAATAAATGTTATTTTGAAATTGTTATTCTTCAGAGAATAGAAAATAAAAAAAGATATCATGGTTTCCACAAAAATATTGATAATAATAAAATTATTGAAATACTGAAAATTCATCATTGCATCAAAGGAATAAATTACATTTTAAAATATATTACAATAGAAGCAGTTGTTCTAAATTGTAATAATATTTAGAATAACATATTACTGTTTTTATTGCATTTTTGATCAAATAGATGCAGCCTTGGTGAGAATAAGATACTTATTTTATAAACATCATTAAAAAACACTTACTGCAGTGTATTTTGTGCTTTTCATAGCATTACACTAAGCCCCATTTACTATCTTAATTCAATCTTTCATTACCTCAGGGGTAATGCACTCAATGACTTTAGAGTTAAGCAGACTGCTCAAGGGGAAGACAGTAAAACCCTAGCAACCCTCAGCAACCCTCGGTACTTTGATCAATTCCTCTAGTGCTCCAATGGTAACAAGTTATTTGCATTACAAATGACATAACTGAGCGAATGACACATAATGACAGTTGTCATAAACATGCATAAAACCTCCTTCATATTCATGACATGTGTCATGTCATGATTATGAAGGTGCCATGCCAGTCTTATGCACACCCCTTCAAGTAAAGTGTTACCAAATAATGTTCTTTTTTAGCAACGTCATATGACCCCTTGAAATACATCTGTGTTGCCTACATCCTTCACAACTTCAAGACTTTGATTGACACAATAGTGCACTGGAGAAAGCTAGTAAGCTTTGAATCTGACTCAAAGGGGACTGTCAATCTGAGTTACCCTCTGTGGTGGGATTATGATATGAGTTGACCCAGAAGTAATGGGTGACCTGTGGAGCAGGTTAATTATTTAAGCTGCTTAACCCAGTCAAAGGTTACAGATTCCTACCTTGGGGCCTTCAGGTCCACTTGGACCAGCTTCACCATGATCACCCTGAGAGATAAGGACAAAATTGTTTAGAGAAAGATGGCCATGCAGGAAGAAAAATTTATGAATTGTGTTCTGTCTAATCCACCAATATGTTATCTGTGCTCTAGCATGACTTTATAGTGATGTGCCAAGTTTCTTTTTCTTCTTTGAAACTCTTCATCTAGCATTGCGATTGATGAACCTCACATTCAGGGCTCTGCCCTGGAGCTTAGTAGTTTTCAATCACTCTGTTGAATGATTCATTGATACATCACTCCTTCACAGTTCAGCTTAATTCCTGAAGGTTCCTCTGAGAGTAAGGATACATTTCTAACAGTTTTGTTTAAGCAATCAACCGCAGTGCCAAATTTCTAGTCCTAAAATGTGGGATTTGACGAATGGCTTTTCGCATAACACAAACAATAAAAGTCTACTCACGTACTTTGATAGACACACTCACCTTTTGTCCAGGTACACCGGGTTCACCCTATAAAAAAGCAAAAACCATCAAAGACCTCTATTTGCTCTTTTTATTTGTTTCATACAGTCGGAACTATTCAGTTGTAAAATGGGCAATAAGCAGAGCGGTATTCCTTTATTGGGAACTTTGTGTCCAAAGGAGAAAGCTTCTAGTTACAGCTGTTATATAGACTGGCAGACAATCTTTATAGAGAGCTGAAATGTGCTTCTATAAGGGACTAGTGTTTCTAAATGGAGTACAATTAAAATTCCCCAGTCTAAACTCAGTGGCAATTAACGCATCAGGGGAAATACATACTTATCCAACAGCAACACGGATAATCAATTATGGCGTATCCACCCCTTCTGTACTGGCAACGACAGAGCAGACCCACCCTGTAGGCTGCTGAACTGTGTGTGAACTTCATGTGAGCCTGTTTACGACTCGCCTGTGGAAAATACTATCATTGCAGTGCAGCTGGACAGCTGTGTGCTTTTCGAGCTTACCTTCAGCCCCGGTAGCATCTACGAATGAAAGAAAAATAAACAGACTTTCAGTTTTCAGTCAAATAATGTCAAGTATCTGAGTCAAACATACTTTCAGTTTGAAGCTTAAATTGTCATATGGAGCATTACAGACTTCCGAGTTTAAGTCAAGTATCTGTATTAGGAAGGTAAGGATGACAATGCATGTATTCAAACACTCACCCTTGGGTCTTTTCCAGGTTTTCCAGGTTCTCCGGGTTTACCCTATGCCAAAAATTATTAAATAGTTATAACACACACACACAAAACAAATAAACAAATAAACAAACAAATATGAGACAATGACTGGAAAAATTACACAGTGTAATGGTTATTATACCAAAACTATTTGACTGCATGAATCCCATAAAAGAACAATTTATTCCAGAGAGCTCTGAAATAAATTGAATTAGCAAATAGCATGAGTTTTACTCTCTGATTACTGATGCAGGCTTACCGGGGGCCCACTAGCACCAGTTAGGCCAGGATTCCCTGGAGGCCCTGGGGGGCCAGGAGGTCCCGGTGGTCCTTGCGCTCCGGGATCGCCCTGCTGAGAGACAGGAAGTTAGCGTCTGAGATAAAGACGTCATTTGTGAAAAAGGTACCGTTTATAACATCATAGGCAGGGTCCACTCCGATTGAAATCCAGTAATTCACAATGATGAAAATAAACAATTTGTTGATGGAATGTCTATTCAAAGAAAAATATTTAGAAAAATATTTTAAAAATTCACAATAATTCACTGATGAAACAGTGGATTTGAAGCTGAGCGGAACCCAAGCCTAGAGGTTGAGTTGAAAGTCAAGAGTCAGGATGAAATGATTGATGTGGTTATTGTAGTTTATAGAGTACCATGTTTGGAAAAAAAGAAAGTGAAATGATTTTTTATAATATTAATTTTAAAAAGTTTGGAAAAAATACAAATGTACACTTCAATGCTTTTAAGAAGCACCTTAGGGGCCCACTGACCATTAGCTAATGGGTTCAACTTTTCAAACGCTGTAAAATTGCTTGTGGCCTCACAGATCTTCTTCAGTAAGGTCTGCATTAGTGGTTCTCAACTGGTTTTGTTTGAAGACCCAATTTAGAATTATACATCAAATGGAGACCCAAAATTGTTTGTTGTACAAAATTGAATTTCATTTGTTTCGTTCTATTGGGAGCCAACAACAACAAAACACACTGTGGTCGGCACAAAACATGTTTATCCTCATTGTAAGTGAACTCAAATTCCATGTAGTCTAAGTCATGTTTTTTGAGGCGAGTTTGATTTGACATGCAGCCTTTGAAATAAACAACAAAATATATATGATTTTTCTCATTTTTAATAGTTAATAAGTCCATTTATTTTGCTATTTTAGAAAGTTGCATTTTATTATTTACATTAAGCATAGCTTTTCCCTGGTGTCCGCAATCCTGCTGACCCATTTATTGTTTTTGATCCACCAGTTGAAAACCACCACTCTACATGATCTACTCATGGCCTGTTTTAAAACTATCTCGGGCACTTCTCAGCAAGAGGAGACCTTCAGCACAGAAGAAGACAAAACAAAATCATCTACAGGAAAGTGTCCTATATTTACACAGCGAGAGGGATGTGAAAATAGGAAATAAGACTGGACTAAACAATATCCTGCTATTCCTGAGAAGAGACCATAAGGAGAACTGTTTATTTAAGATTCTGCTGTGTAATTATTTTTATAAAAAAGTCTGTTTTCAACATTAAAGAGGTCTAGTATGCACTCCGAGAACTCGGTGTAAGTTAGAATAACTGTCCTTCTATTAACAGCATTTATTTCAAGTCTCCTATTAAGACCTCCTACATGCTGGCAACCATGTACAAGATTGATTAACCACAAATAACGCAGATACCGTGACAAAGAGAGGCCTTTCTTTAATGCAGTCTGTGTTCAGTAGCACTCTGAAGCTCAGAGAAATCCGGAACACATCCATCAGACTCAGATCCATATTTTATCCATTTATTTCTTGACAGACCTTGTCTACATTTGATTTATGAGGCCAGATGTAGATCCATTAAATAGAGACATTCCATGATCTCCATCCAATGCACAGACCCGACCCAACCTGAAGACCCAGCCAATCAGCTGCAAAGTTCTTTCCCTAACACTGTGGTCTTCAGCAGTCTGTACCATTGTCTCCAAACATGGTGCTCTAAATCGGTGCACACAGACTACACACCTATAGAAATAAGATGGAGGACCGGTGCCAACCGTGGTCAACCTGTGCCAGGGGCACTTCCTGGAGTGGGCAGTAAAGGCATAGAGCCTTTTTTATAAAGCCAAAGTGGAAAGACTAATTTTGCTGCCAAATAAGCTGTCACATTCTTTTGTTAACTTTTGACTGTCGTTGTGCTGATTATAGAATCAGATTTGTTTGTTAATATGGCAAGTCTTGTTCACTGTTCTTAAGGGATTTGATGAGTAACTGTAGACTGACAAAGGATACAAATGTACATGGTGAGCTTATAAACATCCCATGAAATGGCTTAACGAATGAAGTTTAGTTTTCATTTTAGATAGCAGCTGATTGGACGACAAAAAAAAAGAACATTCCGATGAGTTTTGGACTTTTTTCAATGAAGAGAAAGAATTTTAAATGTGTATATGTGCTGGAAGTTAATTGGTATTTTACAACAATTTACAACAGTGTTCTATTTGTTAACATTAGTTAATGCAACATCTAAAATTAAATTAAAAATACTTTATAGTATTTATTAATATTGGTAAAATATTAGCATATGAATATATTTTTAGCATGTTGTATAAACTAACATCAGTTAATATGGGAACACTTTTAATGTGTCCTTGTTACAGGTTAAAGGTATTATAAGACGTGATAGTAAATTATGCATAATTACAAGAAACACTAAACCAAACCCTAAACCTACAATAAGTACATGTAGTTAATTAATATTACTCAGTACATATTTGTAACCAGGACACATTAAAATAAAGTGTGGCCTTTAATATAATATCAACAAGCATGAATTGACAATGAACAATAGCAAAATTAATATTAAACTATATGATAGAATTCTTTAAAAATTGATGTCTATTGTTCACGATACCTGATGCATTAACTTTTACGTAATTTTGCCTCAAAGTTAACAGATGTGACCTGATTTCATGGGGTCTTTAAAATATTTCTCACATCTAAAATTCTCTAGTAGTTGTATTTTAAGTATTTCCAAAATGATCTCTGAAAAAGTATTACTATACCATTACAAATACCATTCAGATGACAGCTTAAAAATACTTGAACGATTCCTAAATTTGCCCAACATTATAATAGGACTAGACATAAGGATAATCCATTATATATTAGTGACTTTTATTGAGCTAATGTCCAGTTAAAACAGATGGACAATGTCTGAAATGACAGAGAGGGCCTGACAGAAGCTCTTCCTGTGGGGTAGGGTTTATATACCAATAAATCTTGTGAATTGGACATTATTTTAGAAAATAAGTGTATTTCACATGGACTATGTCATATCATGACAATGAAACTATAGGCTATGATATTTGTCTAGAGCTCAGGGAGGGTCACTAACAGGCCCGGCTGGCAGTGGGTGGACGAAGGTTGGCATCCGTAGGGAAGGGGTGCGAGGGTGGCAGAGAGAGATGTACCTTGAGGCGCTTTAGGATTAGAGGGCTTATTGAGGGCATGTTGCGGACGGTGATGGGCAACATCTGCTGAGGTCACAAAGCACAGGTGGGCCACAGTGCACAAAACCAGTTCACCAGGAGGCCAAAGGAAGGAAACAGGCCAGAAAGAGGAGAGGAGGGTAAGGGGAAAACAGAAAAACAAGTGAAAAAGAGAGTGAACAGTGAGGAAAGAGCAAGGCAAGGGCATAGAGAAAGAGAGAGACGAAGTAGAAGAAGGAAAAGACAGAGCCGAACGAATTCAGCATCACTGAACAGAGTCACGGGTCCATCAAAGTGGAGTTCTGTAGCTCTGTGTGCTAGTTTTTGTAATTTTCACAAATATGATTATACTGTTTCTAATAAGTAGGGCTGTTAATTTAATGCATTCATTTACTGTGGTTGATTATTCAACTTTTAACACAATTAATCATCAAATTAATTTGTAAAGCTGGAAAAAGATTTACGTTCAATAATATGTAGTTCAAATAAATCGACTGACAGCCTTATTAAAACATTTACATATCAAACATTATCATTATCAGTGATAATGTTTCTATCTTCATTTCCACTGTGACGGCATCTGTGACTCTGCAGCAACGCTGCGTAGATCAGGCTGGATTCAGTCTTGCCACAAAGAGAGCTTCGCAATGGACTTACTGTGGCCTGTCCTCCAGCACAGACGTTGACAATTCGGCGTTTCTGTTGAGATCAGCAGCATTGCAAAGTACAGATTGAAGAGTTATTGACCCATAGATATACCACTAATAATTGATGTTACCTTACAACTTGCCTTCTTGGGAGTTGCCTGTATTTCACAACTCTATTTAATGGTTTACACATAAAAATGCATCCCAAAGAACTGAAGACTACTGAAAATGCTGCAGTTCAGCATTCTTTCTTTAATTCTAATTTTAATTCCCACTGTGGTCTTCAGCAGTCTGTACCATTGTCTCCAAACATGGTGCTCTAAATCGGTGCACACAGACTACACACCTATAGAAATAAGATGGAGGACCGGTGCCAACCGTGGTCAACCTGTGCCAGGGGCACTTCCTGGAGTGGGCAGTAAAGGCATAGAGCCTTTTTTATAAAGCCAAAGTGGAAAGACTAATTTTGCTGCCAAATAAGCTGTCACATTCTTTTGTTAACTTTTGACTGTCGTTGTGCTGATTATAGAATCAGATTTGTTTGTTAATATGGCAAGTCTTGTTCACTGTTCTTAAGGGATTTGATGAGTAACTGTAGACTGACAAAGGATACAAATGTACATGGTGAGCTTATAAACATCCCATGAAATGGCTTAACGAATGAAGTTTAGTTTTCATTTTAGATAGCAGCTGATTGGACGACAAAAAAAAAGAACATTCCGATGAGTTTTGGACTTTTTTCAATGAAGAGAAAGAATTTTAAATGTGTATATGTGCTGGAAGTTAATTGGTATTTTACAACAATTTACAACAGTGTTCTATTTGTTAACATTAGTTAATGCAACATCTAAAATTAAATTAAAAATACTTTATAGTATTTATTAATATTGGTAAAATATTAGCATATGAATATATTTTTAGCATGTTGTATAAACTAACATCAGTTAATATGGGAACACTTTTAATGTGTCCTTGTTACAGGTTAAAGGTATTATAAGACGTGATAGTAAATTATGCATAATTACAAGAAACACTAAACCAAACCCTAAACCTACAATAAGTACATGTAGTTAATTAATATTACTCAGTATATATTTGTAACCAGGACACATTAAAATAAAGTGTGGCCTTTAATATAATATCAACAAGCATGAATTGACAATGAACAATAGCAAAATTAATATTAAACTATATGATAGAATTCTTTAAAAATTGATGTCTATTGTTCACGATACCTGATGCATTAACTTTTACGTAATTTTGCCTCAAAGTTAACAGATGTGACCTGATTTCATGGGGTCTTTAAAATATTTCTCACATCTAAAATTCTCTAGTAGTTGTATTTTAAGTATTTCCAAAATGATCTCTGAAAAAGTATTACTATACCATTACAAATACCATTCAGATGACAGCTTAAAAATACTTGAACGATTCCTAAATTTGCCCAACATTATAATAGGACTAGACATAAGGATAATCCATTATATATTAGTGACTTTTATTGAGCTAATGTCCAGTTAAAACAGATGGACAATGTCTGAAATGACAGAGAGGGCCTGACAGAAGCTCTTCCTGTGGGGTAGGGTTTATATACCAATAAATCTTGTGAATTGGACATTATTTTAGAAAATAAGTGTATTTCACATGGACTATGTCATATCATGACAATGAAACTATAGGCTATGATATTTGTCTAGAGCTCAGGGAGGGTCACTAACAGGCCCGGCTGGCAGTGGGTGGACGAAGGTTGGCATCCGTAGGGAAGGGGTGCGAGGGTGGCAGAGAGAGATGTACCTTGAGGCGCTTTAGGATTAGAGGGCTTATTGAGGGCATGTTGCGGACGGTGATGGGCAACATCTGCTGAGGTCACAAAGCACAGGTGGGCCACAGTGCACAAAACCAGTTCACCAGGAGGCCAAAGGAAGGAAACAGGCCAGAAAGAGGAGAGGAGGGTAAGGGGAAAACAGAAAAACAAGTGAAAAAGAGAGTGAACAGTGAGGAAAGAGCAAGGCAAGGGCATAGAGAAAGAGAGAGACGAAGTAGAAGAAGGAAAAGACAGAGCCGAACGAATTCAGCATCACTGAACAGAGTCACGGGTCCATCAAAGTGGAGTTCTGTAGCTCTGTGTGCTAGTTTTTGTAATTTTCACAAATATGATTATACTGTTTCTAATAAGTAGGGCTGTTAATTTAATGCATTCATTTACTGTGGTTGATTATTCAACTTTTAACACAATTAATCATCAAATTAATTTGTAAAGCTGGAAAAAGATTTACGTTCAGTAATATGTAGTTCAAATAAATCGACTGACAGCCTTATTAAAACATTTACATATCAAACATTATCATTATCAGTGATAATGTTTCTATCTTAATTTCCACTGTGACGGCATCTGTGACTCTGCAGCAACGCTGCGTAGATCAGGCTGGATTCAGTCTTGCCACAAAGAGAGCTTCGCAATGGACTTACTGTGGCCTGTCCTCCAGCACAGACGTTGACAATTCGGCGTTTCTGTTGAGATCAGCAGCATTGCAAAGTACAGATTGAAGAGTTATTGACCCATAGATATACCACTAATAATTGATGTTACCTTACAACTTGCCTTCTTGGGAGTTGCCTGTATTTCACAACTCTATTTAATGGTTTACACATAAAAATGCATCCCAAAGAACTGAAGACTACTGAAAATGCTGCAGTTCAGCATTCTTTCTTTAATTCTAATTTTAATTCCAATTCAATCAAATGTTGGTTTAAATTTTTCAAAACCCTAATACATTTAGTTTATTTCCAGGTTTAAATGGAAAAATCAAACAAACACATTTTGAATGGGGTTTCAGATTTTTGGACCGTACTGTGCATGACAAATACACTACCATTCAAAGGTTTGGGGTTGGTAAGATTTGTCTCTTATGGTAAAATTCCAATTCAATCAAATGTTGGTTTAAATTTTTCAAAACCCTAATACATTTAGTTTATTTCCAGGTTTAAATGGAAAACACATTTTGAATGGGGTTTCAGATTTTTGGACCGTACTGTGCATGACAAATACACTACCATTCAAAGGTTTGGGGTTGGTAAGATTTGTCTCTTATGGTATTATTGTGAAATATTATTACAATGTAAAATAACTGTTGTCTATTGGAATATATTTTAAAATGTAATTTATTCCCGTAATGCAAAGCTGAATATTCAGCATCATTACTCCAGTCTTCAGTGTCACATGATCCTTCAGAAATCACTTTAATATATTGATTTAATAAACATTTATCAATGTTGAAAACAGTTGAGCTTTTTGTGGAAACAATTGTGCATTTATTTTCAGGATTATTTGAAGAATAGAAAGTTCAAAAGAACAGAATTTATTTAAAATATTAATCTTTATAGAATTATAAATGGTTTAGTGTCGCTTTTGGTCAATTTAATATATCTCCGAAAAAAAAATCTTACTGACCCCAAACTCTTGAACAGTAGTGTACATATTCAAATACAGTAACATTCAATAATTCAAATACAAGATATAAATATATTATAATTTATATATATTTTAAAAAATCAATATTAAGTAAAATGCATTAATAAATGCATTTTTACTATATTGGCTCACTGAATCTATATTGGCTCGCTGAATTTTAGAGTAAGAGGAAAGTGCAAGCAAATCAAGAAGGCAAGTGCTTTCAAGTGTTCTTATCTCCCTGCAGAAGGTTTTTCACCAATTTTACCAGAAAGTTGCATTATGTTAAGGTACTCTATGCATAAGGAGGCCAATCAAAATATGAAAGACACATGGTATTTATGTATTTAACATTTGGATGCATTTTTGATGCCATATAAAGTTACAGTTGCAAAGTGTACCTTAAAATGATATACCACAACCATAAAAGTTCCCTGAGAAGGCCAAAGAAAAAGCAGGAGAACAGCTGCGTGTTAAGATGTGTCATTATAAATTCCTACAGTGTTTTCAATCAGTTGTAATAACAGGCACCTTTCTGCACCTCCAGCAGTGCACGTGAATAAACTAGAGCACAGTTCTCAGCTATGTCTCTCTTTGCAGCAGGACTGTAACACACACATATTCACGGTTTTAGGGATGAGGGACAGCGAACAGCCCACAAACCTTCAACATTAGAGCCTGACTGGAGTGCAAAGCTGCCAGCGTTTTCATCTGGAGCCCCTGCTTAAAATGGCCCAACATACAAATACACGGATATGGATACGGATACATAAACACACGCACACTCAAGTGATAATTCCCATTTTTGTTCCACCACTGCAGGGTGTATCCTTTCAGTCTAGCGCAGTGACCTCTGGGTTTAACCCTAACTGCAAGGAACTTATAGTACACAACCACCCAAAAAGACCACCCTTATGTGCAGTTTTCTAAATAGACTACTGCCTCCCATGTGGCCTAGCCGACATGCATGAAAAACAGCTGTTTTGATGTGATATGGCTGTATGATATACTTCATACACTTATTTCTACACAATAAAAACAGTGATTAAATACTTAGAAAGAAGACTATCAACTTGTGTCCTGCTGCTATTACTGTTATTTCTTTTTCAAGCCAAACACAGATTCAGAAGAAACATATACTGCCAAGGCTGTTTAAAGGTCTATTTTTATATTGCATGCTGTTTTTGAGATTACATAATTGATAAAATAGCTTCAAAAGGCCAAAATTGCTTTTGAATAGACCAGGGCTGTTACCAAAACCTTATCAAATCCAATTCAGCAGGCTTTTGGTAAAATTGCCTTGTTTACATGAAACTGATTTCCCCGAGAGAGAGCTGATAAAGTTTGAGGCCCTGTCTTGGCATGTGCTGCCTATCCAAGACAACATCCAAGCTGTCAATCTACTGTTCCTGCCTTTTCCCCCTCATTTTAATGTCTCTAATTTAACAGCAAAACATATTGTAAATGTCTTTTTAAGGGAAAACATGACAGATCACTTTGACAAACAGAAAAATATCACATAAACAGGAATGAAAACATATGCTTGGGATTTTCCAGCACTCAACACCAGATAACTTTTGAATCATAGTCGGTAGCTTATTTTAATACGTAAATGAACTGTGTTTATGATATCACAATATCAATTCAATAAGTTTAATAAAACATTCACTCACCCTGTGAGTATAGTCACCACATACACCCTAGAAAAAATTAAAAATAAAAATCCATCACACACAGTCCTCTAAGGGTATTTCACAAATTATAATAACATTAGCTACTATTTTAAACTTTAATGCATTTCATGCATGATTTTACCTTCTCTCCTTTTGGACCAGGTTCACCCTGAAAAATAAAATTTGAACAAAAATTTAAAGTCCATCCAAAACCTAATTTATGCATAACATTCCACAGCCACGTGAAATTATGACTATATACTAATACATATTAAAACAAATGCTTACTGGTACTCCTTTAGGACCACGAGGACCCTGGGAAAATAATCAGAATAACAATATGGAATTGTTACTGGATTGTCCATGATTAACTTTTCCTGTTTACAAAACCTCTCAGCCATAACAAGCACATAAATGGTTGGAAAAGGAAAAACAAAAAATAAACCTTTTTATTTTATTTTTTAAGTGCTAAGGCTGAAGCTAAATTTTGCTTGAGGAAGCTTTTGTAGGTTACAAGTGTCATTGTGTGCTTGTATGGAGGGCATTAATAAAACAATGTCCCACAATGCATTATGCTCTCTTAAAAAAACATGTAATCCACAGCCTTAGAGCTGACAGCTAGATTGATTAAATGCCTTCAGAGGAGCCATAATATACATCCAGAAACATATCAGTTTCTTTAATACTACCATATATGAACAAATGAGCAAATGTGAAGCATGAAGAATCTAATTAGAAACTTGATAAAAGATGAAAAATCCAGCTTAGGTTGTATTTGGGTAAGCTATGTATTATTTAATAGCTCAATGTGGCATGTTCAAAAGCTCAGCAGGGGCCGTTCAGCTCTTATGCTGTCTTATAAAGGTGTCATTTCGGAAAAGTGATTCTCTTTTATAGTTTCTAAGCTTGCCATTTCCCACGATGCTATAAAAGAAAGAACATAGAGGTTGTACTATATTTCACAAGGAATGGTTTAAAGCGCACAGTTTGGAAGTGTAATGTCTCTGCCCATTGTCTTTCATCACGTAAAAGAAAGATGTGGACTACATTTTTCAAATTGCAGTTTAAGAGGACAGAGCCAACCCAATATCCTTGTTTTAATACCACAGGTGGCCATAGTCATACAGATATTGACTTAAAGTCACTTTTGACAAACCCCACTGAATGGAATGGGTAAGCAGCCTCTCTTCTCTCACACATACCACCATTTAGTCACTGTACCCATTAATCAAACAAGAAGAGTGTTGTTCTTGTGAATTTATATGGCCATGCTTACAGCCTAGATAAACATCACTGTAACAAGCCATCTTGAAAACAAATGGCTCAACTGGTGAGTTTTATAGACACTGACAAATTTCTCTTTGTGATATGTTTTACTTTTTTACATATTTCTCTTTATGACAGATGGTTTTTATTCCAACGATATTTCATTAGTGAAAGCAAACATGACAGATCTCATGATGTGTGTCCTTTTTGGCCATAGTCATACAGATATTGACTTAAAGTCACTTTTGACAAACCCCACTGAATGGAATGGGTAAGCAGCCTCTCTTCTCTCACACATACTACCATTTAGTCACTGTACCCATTAATCAAACAAGAAGAGTGTTGTTCTTGTGAATTTATATGGCCATGCTTACAGCCTAGATAAACATCACTGTAACAAGCCATCTTGAAAACAAATGGCTCAACTGGTGAGTTTTATAGACACTGACAAATTTCTCTTTGTGATATGTTTTACTTTTTTACATATTTCTCTTTATGACAGATGGTTTTTATTCCAACGGTATTTCATTAGTGAAAGCAAACATGACAGATCTCATGATGTGTGTCCTTTTAAACTAAAAGTATTTAGATTTGTATTTTAACACTTCAGTTAATTCCAGCCAAGGTTAAAATGTGTTTTCTTAAGATCACATTCATAGGAAACTGTTTTTGCACTGCAGCTTTAAAGTCAGTTAATAATGGCAAAAAAATTTAAAATGGTAATAAAAATTCTTACCATATCACCTTTTGGACCATTCTGTCCCTGTAAGGTTGAAAAAAAAAAAAGTTTGGCAAAGGAAAAATATCCATTCTCTTTAATCTTTTTAAGTAGTACAAATTACTGCATTCTTTGTGCACATACTGTTATCGATTTTATATTCTGTCATGATGGTGACAATAGAGAATTTATTATAATAATTAGCATAATTATTATTACCATAATTATCCTCTTTATTGCCAAAATGACAGTCAATTATCAATTGCTGCCAAATAATTTGGTACAAAGGTTCGGAGGTTCCAATTACTGAAACATTTGTAAGGAATGATGTGAAACTCACAGGTTTCCCGTCCAAGCCGATGGGGCCCTGGGAAAAAAAAGTGGGAGAACAGCAGATTGGTGACATTATGAAGGCACAAAACAGCTCCAATTCTCCTGTCTAGACTAGCTGACTAATATGACAATGTTTATGGAAAAAAAAGTTATTTCCTTGAGGGTCAGGCTATAAGGCAGAGGTGAAGCGTAAAAGACTCACTAGAAACACTGTGGGTATTGTACTTTAACTCTGTGTACCCAATGTGTCCAGCAGATCAGTGATCATGCAGGGTAATAAACACCTAAAAACTGATTTTAATATCCAGAGCACGCAGACTGCCTATAGAAAGGGCTCAGGGACATTTATACACCTTACAGTGCCTATATAATCTCACATGATCCAACTTCAGTGGTTTTCAAGCCCTGGGTCCCGACCCTCGGGTGGGTCACCAAGATGATTTAAGGAAAATGTATACATTTATGTAACAAAGTTCAAGACTCAGGGAAGAACTGGCAAACATAACTTTAATAACAAAATAAACATAAACAACAAAACGAAAGTAAGTGGCAGCCGTCTCACAGCAGACTCCAGTGTACATCTGTCTCTCTGTGTTTGCGGTCTGGAGAGCATCAAAGGTTTCTATTCACATTGTGTTTTTGCAGCATTGAACACTGTAGGCAATCTGTTGATTTCTGGAACGTGATGGCCAATCAGCTGTTTCAGTTAGTCACGATCCACTCACCTCTCAAAACACCAGAGTTCTGCAACTCGCGAATCCTCTCATTATAATCAACAAAGTGTGGACGTGATGTAAATAATAGATTCATTGTGCAGTGTAGAGAGATTCATTGATTATAATGGAATTTTCTGAGATCGCTAAAAAAACTGAAATGAGTGACAGCTTTTCAGTGGTTATAAAGGGAGCACTCTTTGCGCGCTTTCTTGACTATATATATAATCCATTCAGAATTTGAATAAGTTTTGTTTTTCATGCTGCTAAGAGGACCAACTTGGCATATACGCTGCAAAGTTTCAGAAGTGACATTCGCATATAAATGGAGTATTCCCTCTTGAAATCACAATGACTGACAGTGATAATCATAATAATTGACTGGACAAAATATGTTACGTATAAAAAGATGTGCATGAAGGCTAAAGCACCCTAACTAATTTCATCTATCTATCTGTCTATGCTTGATTTGATGCATGTAAATGGTTGTATAGGGTCACATCAATTTAAAAAGAAATATATGTTTATTCTCACTTCCTTGAGTCATTTCCACTTACATCCATTAAATAAGGGGCTTAATGATGGCTTTTATAAACTAACAAATAAACTCTACACAAGTTTATCCAATTGGCTTCAGACAAAAGTCACTTACCGGAAAGCCTGGAAATCCTCTAGTACCGGGTTGTCCCTGAGGGGAGACAGAAAGAAAAAAGAAGAGGAGTTATTTTCTATAGGAAAAACATCAGGATTATGTGAAGTCGATGAAATGAGGTCTGTGTTGAGAGATGCGGTATTGTTCCTCCAAACTCAGTTGTGTCGTAATTGAGGTTGAAGGACAGGAGCCTTCCTGCTCTCTAGGAAGCACTTTGAGGAGACAAAGACAAATAAAGCTCTAAAAAATGTGGGACACCGACTGAAATTCAACACTGGAAAGAACAATCTGAAAAACATTAAAGAGTTGTCCTTATGCAATATGTGAGAGCCAATGAGACAAGGCTAACAAATTAAATAAGTAAATGTCAGTAATGATTAGTGCTACATTCTCCTGTGAACAATGCCAAGTTTGCTTTCCTGAAAAACCTTTGTAGCCCTTGGGAAAAAAGGAAGTCATTCAATATGCCTGGCAAAAAAGAACTGCATTGGAGCAACCTGAGAGAAAATTACAAGGAAGAGGTGAACAGAGCTAATGAAGGGGATTGTGTGTCTGGGTCTCAGGTAGTTATTGGAACATGGTTGATTTTCTCTGCCTTGGGAACCTGGTCTGGAATAATGGAAGTAGCAGCAGAATCACCCGAAACAGAACTGACAACATTAATTTTGTTGGCATGAAAATGTAGCAAAGAGTAACAGAAAACAATTGAATAAAACAAGTCTAGTCTACTGAAAAGAACTCCTCTAAACCAAAAATCCACTATGGCCGCAACACATAACATTCTTCAGGAGTGATACAACATCAATTTCCTGACTGCAGTCTGTCTTGGAATTAAACCCAGATTAAATATCACTTTTCAGTTGTTTTCAGGACAGACACAATTTTTCAAAGTGTACCTTGAACAAAACATGACAAATACAACAAAAGATACTTGACAACATAAGACAGGGGTTTTCAAACTGGGGTCCAGCAAAGCAAATGGATCAAAAAAAAAAAGGATTTAGCATCTTTATTTTTTAAGACCTGTCAAAGTGTCAATGTTAAGTTAAGCATAGCTTGTATTTATGTTGTATCTTTGTTGTACTTTCAGTTTTAACCATGTTCCCCACCTGATCAGCCAAGACAGTAACTGTTGATCGAATAACAACTCAGTACACCATCTAATAATCCCTCTTGTCTATTCCCTAACTGCCCCACTTATGTGTGAGAAAGAAACTGTTACCGCCACATCATGTCTACCTGCCTGGCTAAAGCAGTCATTTCCGCTGGCCTTTCCACACTTTTGCCTCAAATCAACCTCTGTGACCCTTTTGGAGGTGAGGACAAAGCCTATGCTCTCAGCTCACCTGCTTAAGACATTCCCTGCAAATAAACTTCTCCCTGTCACCAGTTCTCTATGCCTGATGTCCACTCCTGACGTCTTATTAGAGGTGATGGGTCAGAGGTATAGAGAAGTGTATAATCAGCAAGCAGAAAGACAAGTGTCTGAACAGTCTGAAGGTTCTCCCATAAGAGTGTGCTGGGATAAATGGGGAAACCACAGGTTATGCACTGCATAATCAGCAAGGAAATTCCACTTCTGATGGCGTAACATTACGTTTTTGTCTTACTGAGTGGAATGCATGGAAAGGGAAAGAGTGCCAGTTTGGGGACAAGCCCCATTTCGTCTGATGACTGACCACTCATTAACAGATACAGCGCAATCTGCACGTCTAATGTCTGGATTATAATGACAAGGGCTGGAATGTTTTAATTCCTTCCTGCTAATGAAGATGAGAATCCAAATAGGCGTCATTATGTGGGAGTCACAGCCCCGAAATACTCTGATGCAGTGTAAGTGCTTCCATACAAGCTGCTGTGGGATCCCCGTCCTGTTCATGCACATTAGAGATTGTGTCTTGATTAGCAGAGATTTATTGGATTTGCTCCACATACAGTAGTGTGCTGGAGGATGCTGATCTTGCTTATCTACCCTACACCACATATTTATCGAGCTCACTTTGGGGTGGTCTGTAACTTCAGTGCGCGAAGAAAAACAATAGAAGAAACATTTGCCAAGAACCCCTGGAATCATAAAAGGATTAAGGCCAAAAGCTGCTAAAATCTGCACTATGACCTGTATCTACTCTGGAGAGCTGACATTAGGAGAAGATGATGAAGTGTTTTAGCAGTGACAGAGCAAACACTTACAGGAGGTCCTCGTGGGCCAATGATAGACAGACCTGGCTCTCCTGGCGCTCCCTATGGACAGATAGAGAGGTAGAAAGACAGTGAGGAGAGGAACTGACAGAAAGGAGACAGAATGGTATCCACTAAACTACACCTATTACACAAAGCCAAACGTATCAGTGAATATATTGTATCTGCAGAATAGAAAAACGTTCGCTGAAACACCCTGTAACATCTGTTTAACATAACTCTTTTGCTAAGCCGCCTCACGGAGAGCACTTGCATGTGGCTCAGAGGTGTACACAGTATTTTGGTCTGTAAGTAAAATGTCAACAGACCCAGGTTCTCATTTCAGGGTCGTAGTTAAGTCTTGACAGCGAATTGGTAGGGTCAGGGAGCACTGCTGAGTAAACAGCAAACGGCCCGGTGGGTTGGTTATCTGGTGCAAACTAGGTGATTTGCACTGTGTCGGCCTGTCCGCAGCACTGCACCAAACATCCAAGCGCAATCCTGCAACGCTCTGTGGTCAGACAGGAAAGCTCTCAGGTTTCCAGCACTTTCCCTAATTAGCTCTCTTCGTGTGAAACTCTATCAGGAAGACACCTTTGATGACCCAGCCATCCATCAAATTGTGGGCAATTTTTAATTTGTCTGGTTCGATGCCCACTTTATCACAGGATAGAGAAGTATTTGTTTTAGCACTTTTTTGAATCACCTACAAAGGTTACTGGTGAGTGAAAAGGGTGATGTATGAAACTGATTTCCAGGTTGTGGAAAAGGAAAAGACTAAGCTTTGCCCCTAAGGTTTATGGTTACCCACAGAATCTTGCAGAGATCTGTGCAATAGGACAACCGAAGATCTAGAGATATCCCTTTGAACAGGCTTACATTACAAGCATTTGGCAGCTAGGAAAGGGTACAGGACAAAGAGTCCAAATACAATCAGCCAAAGCAGGAGCAAAAAATTCTGCTGATATTCAAGGATTGGACTTACTAATGAATGATACGATCTTCACAGATTTCATTTCGTTCAGCAAGTAATCCTTTCTGTGTAAAGAATACATCTCAAGTTGTCTCAAGTTTTGCAGTTCTTGCAAAGTTCAACCAATCAATCACCAATTCGCCTGATTTTGGGCTTGAGCATTCCAACGCAACCAATTATGATTCAGCTGAATTTATTTCCTTGAGGACTGAAGCGCTACGGCTGCCAGTTTCAGGGCTAGCCCATTCATCTTGAGGGGGTTTGTTTTGATATCAAATGAAGTGAAGTTCTTCACCCAAAATTTGTTGGGTCAAGACTTACCCTTGCTGGAAGGTAAAACATGGCCGCACTTAAAAAGAGAGGATAAAAACTAAACCCCTGAAACAACGAGGGAAGCCCACTGATTATTCTGGATGAGAATCTGGCGGGTCTTTCCAAGGTCATATATTGTCTGCTTCTCTACTTGTCGGCTCGGTGGTCACATTGCTATTTATTTCCTTTCCAAGTTCTTTATAACCCCAATGTTTTTCTGGTAAGTGAGGGTAACCATTCAGAAGTTTCACTACTTTTCTGTGATGGTGAAGGATGAGGAACATGTTCCTCCACACATTGCTTGTTTGGCCTCAGACATTACACATCATTCAAGCTTGATGAAGGGAGGCCGCAGAACTGCTGGCTTGTACAAACACTGAGCACAGCTGCCAAAAGGAACTGGTTTAAGAATGGCTCAAACCACATTTGCCATAACAGGAACTGAAGTTCAATGCACTAAATACAGTATAGAGTGCTCACTCATACCAAATACAGACTCAAGGACACATCCAGTGACTACACCACTTTTAGATAGTTTTGGACGTGTCTAGAAGTGATAGGGTTTCGTAAGCTGCTCTATTCCAAACATCTCTTTGTCTAGAGTGGGGAGTCTTAAAACTTCAGAGCGCTCCAAGAATAAACACAGGTAATCCAAGCATTGTGGGAACCGTCTTCCGAATGTGACCCCCAAGGCCTTTCAAAATATAGCCTAAAGCCTTCCTGATATAAATCACGATACCTGCGCACTTTGTGCAATAGTTTCGGGTTGCCCCCCCCACCCGCATCAACACAGCCACCCACAATGAGAGAGAGTCTGAATTCTGCACATGCAGGCCAACATCCTGCACTTACCTTCTCCCCCAGGTTTCCCTTTAAGCCCTGGTCAGTCACAGCAGACACAGTCACATGCACAGTGAAAAGGAGAAAGACAGAGAGAGGAACCTGGGTTAGCAAGGTTCTGAGAGGACAAGGGCATGCAGCAGCCTGAGATGGAGCATTTGGAGGTCGGGAGAATGGGACACACTGATGTACTGGAGCATTTTGGGTTGTTGAGGGGTGGAGGCTACAGGGGAATGGAAGCACTGGAGTGTTACACTGCTGGCCTGTGGGGAGTAATGGATAGTAGATGAGGGGGCTGCTAACTTTTCTCACAGACAGACTGGTCAGTGGAGCAGTTTGGGGGGGGGGATAAGCCATGAAAGGTGAAAAAAACACTTCCTGTGAGAATCTAAAGGAGCACAATGTAGCTTTACACTGGGTGAAATATGGAAAGCTCTGCTTGGGGCTCACAGTTTGAGCTGAACACTGCTGAAACCTGCTTTTAGGTAGGGATTGTTTTTCAAGAGAAAGCATTAGGGTTGAGCTTAGAGTATGCAACCACACAAGGGTCAAGAGTCTGGAATGTCTCCTTTGAGGACAATGAAGTTTTATCGGTTTCTTGCTGAAAATGTTTAATGAAGAGTAGCTGCTACGCTCCAGGGGGACATCTATACGACTATGTGGATTTTGGTCGATCCTGCTTTCTTTTGCGACACATCATGCATTGCACTAATCTGAAAAATGGGTCCAAATGCACAAATCTTATGAATGAGGAGGTAAAACAGAGCTCATAACTGTCTGTGGTTTTCCAATCTGTTTCTCACATTTTTAATATTTACGTATTGTCTCTTTGTGGATATATATCCAAAATGTTTCTTCCAAGATCTCCTCAAGGTTTGGCTGCACATTTTAACTTCTCAGCATGTAGAGTGCAACTGATAAGCAAAAGGCCTTCTTTGAGGTCTATTTAAAGTTCAACAAGTAAAGCATTTTCACATGACTGAGCAGCCAAGACAAATTGAGTAATAAGGAGAGAGAGTTTCTCATCAAATGCAGCCAGAAAGAACTCTGGTCTTCAGTCCTTGTTCAAATGTGACAGGGGGGCTGTGAAATACTTCAGACTTCACAGTCAGACATTTTGTTAACTATTAATGGTGGTGATGAAGTGGGAACCATTTTCTGGCTAAATAAATAAGCTATAATTTTTGGTATACATCATATAGTTGTAGTTAATAGCTGAAACGCTACATTAAACTTTTGGAAGAAATTCATATGAAATATTGTGAATGCTTACATTCACAGTGAAAGCTAAAACAGGTCAAAATTAATTAGGAAGTGATACTAACCACTGATACTGGATTCTGTATACAACATACTCTGGTAACTAAAGCAAACATTACTCTTCAGTTCAGTCTGACCTTATATTATCAATGTGACCTTTGGCATAAATACAAAAGTGTCGTACAGTTGCATTTAGAAATGTTCAGCTAGAAATTATGTCAATGGCATGACACTGACCAATTATTCAAGACAACAGCCATTTACTACAGACTAGCTGGTTGGCCTTAGTGCATTTCATCAAATCACTCACCATTCTTCCAGGAATGCCCATTGATCCTTTGTCTCCCTAGTGGTCAATGCAAAGTCAAGAAGGGAAATCAGGAACAAATAATCTGACAGATTGAACCTCTACATTCTATTGGAGTTATTACCACTACCGCTAGTGACTAAATGACATTCAGCTACATGTTCACATAGTAAGGCTATAAAGAGTTAGTAAAGTTAAGCTGGCCAATGTGATTCTAACTAAATGTCTATATTACTAAACATTCACTGACTGTACTGTTAAATTTAAAGGTGATGATGCAGGCATGCCAAATACTGTCTTGGAAAAAAAAAACTACAAGTCAGCTACTCATGAATTTGATGATGAATGTGTAGTGGTCAGACAGCAAGTGTCACCAGTGGTTACATGATATCAATGAAAGCATGAGGTTAATGCAGCGTATTTTTATATTAGGCCCATTTCATAATCACGGTTCTTGCATAAGATGACGTTTGCTAGCTGACCATATGACAGATGATGAAGTGACTGAAAAAGACAGCAGTGTGGAAGCATGACAGTTTGTTTCTTATTGGAATGGTTTAAAGGAATAGTTCACCAAAAAAATGAAAATCCCGTAATTTATTCGCCCATACGTCACTTTAAACCCACATGACTCCCTTTCTCCCTCTGAAAACAAAAGGGAAAAAAATCTGAGGATTTTTTTCTCATGCTGCTTTCCATGCAATTACAATGGACAGAAACTAAAGCTTTCAAACTTTAAAAATGACAGAAAAGCACTATACAGCAGTGGCGTTCCATCCATATAAGCTGCGAATGCTCCGCATACCCAGGCCATTTGAGAGAATAAGTTCACGGGATAATTCATATAAAAATGATTATAAATTGATCCCTTGTCATTTGAAATGTAACTTAAAGCTTAAAGAGTTAGGAATAAGTACGTAAAATTTTCTTTAAATCTACCATCTGCGATTGCTTCTGGGTGAGCATATTCTCCGCAGCTTTCTCGCCTCCGCTCTGTTGCTATGATTTGTCAGGATTATAGCGTGTTCTCAGTGATTTGCTGGTCTGCGGCAGATTTAATGCACGAGGTAAGCTGTTCGCGAAGCGCTCGCCCAAGTGGAAAAATGTGCTGTTGCTGCCAGATCTCGATTGCCGAAAATTACATGGTGTTTGATGCAAAACCAACTCGACTAAATCAAAAGAAAAAAACACTAACTGTATATTTTTATTTTGTCAAGCAAAGCAAATTGAAAAAAAAAGTTGAATAACGACTCTAGGTTACGTATGTAACCATGGTTCCCCCGAAGGAACGAGACACTGCGTCGAGATTCGCTTTGGGAACGCCCTTGCGTGACCGCATTCTGAAGCACGTGTCAAATCAGTGCAATGGAGCAGCGAGACGTCACGAGCAGGGTGACGTAAGCACCAGAAAGTATAAAAACACATCCAGCAGAGAGTGCAAACCAGCTTCGATGAAGTAGCGCCTGCAAGGATGCAGGGAGTATGGCAAAGAGACGCAGCGTCTCGTTCCCTCGGGGAACCATGGTTACATACGTAACCTAGAGACGTTCCCCTTCAGGAACTCGAGCTGCATCGAGATTCGCTTTGGGAACGAGAATACCCACTGCGCCATACTACCAAGTCCCTGCCTGTGTGTGTATCTTATGAGCACATCATGAAGAGAGAACTTGGGAACCTGGGGTAGATGCCAGGTCTAGGTTGTAAAAGCGGACAAAAGTGTGCGGAGAGGACCAGCCCGCCGCAGCACAAATGTCCTGCAAGGCCACACCCAAGTTGAAAGCCTTGGAGAGACCATACTCCTGGTCGAGTGCGCTCTGACCCCCATAGCCGACGGGAGGCCAGAGGACTCGTAAGCTAGTGAGATAGCCTCGACCACCCACCTACTCGTAGTCTGCTTGGTCGCCAGAAATCCCTTCTTTGGCGGACCAAAACAAACAAAAAACTGATCTGCCTTACGCGACGGGGCAGCCCTGTGTGCGTAAGCGTCCAGTGCTCGAACTGGACAGAGCAGATTAAGCCTTTCTTGGCCTACTTCCTGG